CAATGGCAGGCGCACAGCTTTCTCCAGCAGGCGCTGTACTCCGGTGCAAGGTCCAGCCCGGCACCTGCGGCTGGCCCTCTGGTGCACTCCACGTGAGGCTTTAACCATCTGGGAAAATTCATTGATGATCCATGCAGGCTGGACACCCCAGAGAATCTGTCCGAATCTAGCAGGCCTCATCTCTTTAAGAAGAAACTTCTCTGAGAAAAGGAACAGAATGCAACAGACCCACAGAGAAAGGCACTGAGGCTCAGCAGTGAAATGATAGCAAGAGTCCCTCCCAGGCCCTGTCTGTCTGTCTCTTTCTGAATTCTGCCAGGATGTGGCCTCGGACAGGCCATGGGCTGCCCGGGGGGCACACTCAGGAGGGGGAGAGCAGCAGGCTTGGTGAGAGGGGAAGGCCACTCCCACCACTTCTCCCTTCTCCACCTCCCTCCACCGAGGCCCAAGGCCAGTGCCTGGAAGGCCGGGGTCTGAGTCGCTGAGGGCAGCATTGAGGCTGCAGGATGGAGGCTTTCGGGGTTCAGAGATGGTTGGACATTGGGGAGTTGGGAGTTCCATGTCTGAATCCAAACGCTCTACTTGTGCAATGATTGTCACTCTGGTTCCTGCGTGTGGCAGGGTGGGCGGAGAGCAGGAGCCCAGCTTATATCCAGATGGTGGGGGAGGGAGAGAGAGTGCCAAGGCTTGGTCAGGGCATTTCAAACCTTTCTCTCTCTCCAGTTGTCCTGCCAGCCTGTGACTAATTCCCTGAGGATAAAGCCGCCTCTCTGGCTTAGTCAGGGAGAGTTGAGTTTGACACCTTCCTAGTCATAGGGGAAGTGACACCCCACGGCGTGTTTCATGAGTCTGGTTGAGGGCGGTGTCTGCATGAAAGGGAACCTGTTGACTGAGGCCCCATCCCCATCTTCTCTTGACTCCAACCCAAGCATAGCACTGGCTCTGGCTGGGAGAGCATTTTGCTCAGTTTGCTTAAAAACACACTCACACACACAGAGAACTGTCTCCTCCACATTGTTGTGGAGCCTCGATAAATGAGACAGGAAGATGGGGGCAGGATGAGGAGGTGACAGGAGCTGGCGGCCAGGTTCCCTCTGCGATCCATCTCTGCAGAAGCCGGCGTTAATGCCAGGAGCCTCAGCAAGACTGATCTCCTGCTGTGACGGTTTGGACATCTAAACATGACCTTGGATGTGCCCAAACCGCAGCTGGAGCTATGCCAATGCCTCAGCACCGTATATCACAGGGGCTGCACCGCAGCGCTGAAAATGGGCTGCATTTGGAGTGCAAATGCACCTGCAAATGAGCATCTTTGGTCCGGTGAGTGCGGGGCTGAGTGGTGAGACTGCTTGGCGCCAGCCTATCCCAGTGATTAGATGCTCACAGGGAAGCCAGGACAGCCCTCCCAGAGGCCTTTGCAAGAGGCAGCAAGGCACCCCACTGTGGGCATCCAAACAGGTATTCAAGCTGTTTGGGTTTTGAGGCTGATGGTCAGCATTTCCTGCACCAGAGCCGTTCACCTGTATCCGGTCACATCCGGGGCTGCTGGTGGGAAAAGAACTAGCACTCTGCCTGCCAGAGCATATTGGTCATTAGAACGTTCTCCCTGGGAAGTAATGGAAAACGGCTTCAAACAAGACTCATTTCCTGGGGCCCACGCGCTCGGCTGCTCTCAGCTCACCAGAGACCAGGTGTCTAAATGAATGGGTGTTCAAGTGTGGTCGCCAGGCCAGGCCGCAGCCGGCAGTCTGTATGCATCAGGGCTTCCTGGTGAGTCAGATGAACATTGAATTTAAATGTGATGGCGTCTGATAAGGACATTCAAGAACACTGAATTTGAGGAGGAGGAAAAGAAACAAAAATCCACAACCAACCCACAAAGAACAGCCACAGCAAAAACCCTGGTCCTGATTATTGGTTCTGCAGCTTCCTATTGGTGCTCTCTTAATCAATTTGGATATTGCTTAGCCTCGGTTAACCCCATCTATAAATTGAGAACGATAAGTGAACCCAAACCATTTTTGAGAGCATCAAATAGTGTATGGAATAGGCTCGCTCAGTACTGAGCACAGAGTGATGGGTGATTAGTAAACATTAGCCATGCATATGAATTTCACCGGTTTCCCTGTGGAATCTGAGCAACACTTAGAGTAGGGACTTTAAGGACCAGCCCAGGTATGTTACCAGCAAAGCGAGCTGTGGAGCCAGTAGTTCTTAAGGGATTTGAAACCATTGTGGTTCCAAACTCACATTTCAGGCAGGGCAGCCTGAGAGGAGAGAGTAGGGTCTACTAGGAAGGGGTGCACACGGGGTGCTGCCTCTGTGAATGGGCTGGGCTTCTCCACTGCATACGCACAGAGAGGATGCTGGGTATTGTCAGCAAAGCCTAAAGGAAGCCTTGGAGCACATGGCAGGCCATCCACGCTTCCTGTCCATCTGGTTACCTAGGCGTCTTATGCAGGCACTGACTCCAGCTCATTACGTCTGCAGCGAGGCCTGCAAAGCTGCATTGCCATCAAGCTTTCCATTGACGGTTTCCTGACCACACTTTTGCACAATGAGGCACTTACTCGGCGCTCCTCATTCCTAATGTGCATGCGATTCTCCTCTAGATTCACGCTACTGAAGGGGTGGCCTAGGCACCATTGCATGCACATCACCTGGGGGGTTACGAACATGCAGACTCCCAGGCCCCAACCCAGATCCACCACAGCACAGTGTACATCTTAGTAAGATCCTATGGAGATCACATGCATGGCAGAGCCAGAGTCCCATCAGGACGTGTCCTTAGTCCCGTAAGATCCTGCCCTTGGTTAAACGCTCTGCTGTCACCTCCTTGAAATCATTAATAATCCTCAGCCAAAGGGCTCTGCATTTTCCTTTTGCACCAAACCTAAGGTGACCAGATGTCCTGCTTTTGGCGGGACAGTCCTGATTTCTAACATTTTGTCCCGCGCCCCGCTGCGTTTGAAAACAGACCCGATAATCTTTCCAAAAACCGAGACTGTCCCGCCAAAAGCGGGACATCTGGTCACCTTAACCAAACACCACAAATCACGTAGCTGGCCATGGGGTGCACTGCTCTCCACCAGTGTTTTGAAAACTTTGGTGTGGATAGGACCAAACTGGGATATTAGAAAATCCACATTTTGGGAGTTCCCAAAGACTCTCAGTCAGTAGCAAAAAGACCCTATAACAAACTCCTCATACGATTCTGACGCAGGCAGTCTGTGCCCATTGTCAGAAAGACCCCCTGGTCGTTTCCTTGTCAGGTTTCTACCATCCCTCCCCTGTGCTGTCCGGGAAACACAGTCGGAAGCACAGAGCCCGCTGGACAGAGAGCGAGGCGCTCTGGCTGAGCGGTGTCTCTGCGGGAGCTCTCAGCAAGGCTCCCCACCTGCGCCTGAGTGGCCCTGCAGTGTCGGGTGACATTTCCACAAGCACAAGCGGAAAGGATGCACAGCGCTGGGCCCTCCTCTCAAGAGGGACCCCCTAGGAGTCTGGTGCACTCGACAGCAGTCCTTAGGCTGTTGATGGTCACAGACCATTTTGAGGATTCGGTGGCAGCGACTGTGCCTCCCGCTGACACTCACCTTAGCTAGACAACCTGTGTGCCAGGGCTGATGTCACCTCCTAGCTCTTTAACCTGGGGCAAGTCACCAGGCCTTGGAGTCCCATCTTTAAAAAAGAGAGTGGGGAAGGTCACCCAGGTCACAGATTTATGGCAGGAATCAGATGAGTCAGTGTGGATGAAAGAGTCCTTTTATACCACAAGAGCATATATAAAATCGAGGCACCATTGTAGACACTTGCTATTTCAAGCATTATAGTCGGGATGAGGACAGGGTTGTGAATTTAGCCTAAGGCCATAGGACACAGTGGGTGTAGGGAGAGAAGGAAACGGATGCAGACAGAGAGATGGGACCAGGCGTTGGCGAGAGTAGCTGGGAAAGTTGGAAGTGAAGGAAAGCAAAGGGAGCTGCCGTATTTTGAGGACTCTAGATGCAAAAGGAAAAGAAAGAACATCTGCCTCTACATGTGCAGCCAGTGTTGAGATCTTGCAAAAAGCCTTTCATGTAGCAATAATTGAACACTCCTGCCCCTGAATATAATGAAGACAAGTTGCCGTGGTGGTGGTCCTAGTTAGCTTTGACTTCAGGCGCCTCCTGTCAGAGCCCGCTAATCTCAGATGAGAAGACTGTTTAGGAGCTACAGTCTGGGTCTCTGATCTATCTCATAGTATCTGTGTGGTTTGGGGCAGCATTTAGCTTCTCTGTTCTTGGATTCCTTTGCCTCTAGAACCTTCCTCATAGGGTTGTGCATGTGCGAAGTATTGAATGACTCAGTGCACTTGGACCACCTGGTGAGGAATAATGCATCATGGAAATCCTGGGGCAGAAGGAGGACTGGCTGTGCTGGGAGAACCCAGGCATCTGCTGAGGAAGATGCCTTGGGCTTTAACTGTGAATAGTTTGGGCCATCTGAAACCGGTTTGGCTCAGTGGATAGAGCGTTCTTCTGCGGACTGAAAGGTCCCAGGTTCGATTCCGGTCAAGGGCATGTACCTTGGTTGCGGGCACATCCCCAGTAGGGGGTGTGCAACAGGCAGCTGATCGATGTTTCTCTCTCATCTATGTTTCTAACACTCTATCCCTCATGCTTCCTCTCTGTAAAAAATCAATAAAATATGTTTTTAAAAAATAGCTTGGGCCATTGCACTGGCCCTGTTCTCAGTGGTTACAGAAGCACTGATGTGCTCAGGACCCAGCGGTCTGACATATCTAATATCCTAAGGCTCTAATCCCATGAGGCCTCTGCCACCAATCCCAGGAAGCATCATCCGTGACCTGTCACACCCAGGCCACGCATGCGTGGAGACTGGGGCAGGGAGCGGAGACTGGCACAAAAACTCACTCCTCCCTTGCCAGGGGCTTCATCCTGATGGCTCTCCCTCCCCCCTCCCTTTTTTTTTCTGACGTATCTCTCTGATCTTCCTTCCAGGTGCACTATTGACAACCGGGTCACCCGGGTGGCCTGGCTTAACCGCAGCACCATCCTCTACGCCGGGAATGACAAGTGGTGCCTGGACCCCCGCGTAGTTCTCCTGAGCAACACCCAAACCCAGTACAGCATCGAGATCCAGAATGTGGACGTGTATGACGAGGGCCCGTACACCTGCTCTGTGCAGACGGACAACCACCCCAAGACCTCCCGGGTCCACCTCATCGTGCAAGGTAGGCGGGGTCTGGCTGGGCGGTCTGAGCCGCCGCTGGAGAGCCAGTGCTAAACACTTGGTCTGTGATCCTTAACAGAAATGGGTTCTGTCTGTCTGTCCCATCCGGCCAGGACACCTTCTTAATTGTCATCTTGCCGTTAGATGTTGAGTTTTCATGTAATTTTCCCATTGAATAGGACCAGGATCTTTTTTGTTGTGGCTGTTGTTCCAATAATATATTTTCTCAGGAAATTTTCTTCTAAATATAGCTTTTCTTTTTTCTTCCTCTGAAGATGTTTTGGTTCCTTCCAATTCTAAGCTTGCTTGATTGGAAGAGCAGCATTTGGGTTCTGGCCCCTGACCCCTGACCCCTGCCTCACACTGCCTTCAGAGAAAGCAGAGCCCAATATAGGGGCACTGGCAGCTACCCGGAAGCATCCTGCCCACCACCTGCATCTTTGTCTTCCCTCACTTCATCTTTCCTCACCCCCGGCCCTGGGTTTGTTCTTCCTGCCTCTGATTCACTATGTTTTGGTTGTGCCCCTCAGCCTCAGCTTTTGGAAGCTGTACATTCATTTCCTTTTTGGATCTCTCTTGGTTGTGCTCTCTCTATGATGCTCAGGCCCGGGGAATGGTGTTTGCCTCTTCCCCAGGAAGCAGAACTGGTCCTGGGGCATTCACACAATACTTAGCCATGGGGGTCGTGTTCCTAGCGAGGTGGAGGCACTGGCCCTGACAGAATCAGACGGGGCCTCTTTCTGGCTGTAAGACTTGGATCTGGTTTGAACCGAGCCTCAAGACTTTCCTCTATGCCAGTGGTTGGCAAACTGTGGCTCGCGAGCCACATGCAGCTCTTTGGCCCCTTGAGTGTGGCTCTTCCACAAAATACCATGGCCTGGGTGAATCTATTTTGAAGAAGGGCCTTTAGAAGAAGCTTAAGTTTAAAAAATGTGGCTCTCAAATGAAATTTCAGTCGTTGTGTTATTGATATTTGGCTCTGTGGACTAATGAGTTTGCCAACCACTGCTCTATGCAATGGGTCCGTGTCATGAGATGCTGTGGGGAGAACCACATTTTACATGTGCTAATGTGCAGAACACATAGAAGAGGGACTGGAACATAAGATGCTGCTTAAGTGATAGCTATCTTTTAACCTACTCTTGTTTTTAAATTTTTAATACATCTTTGACAGTGGACTAGTTCCTTCCTTGTTTTATTATTTAGATGTGTCAGCCCTTGAACACAGAGCCTAGCTCCTCTGTGGCCGCTTCTTTCCCAGTTCCCTTCACCTGCTCAAATGGCAGGTTGGGGCACTACACTTCTCTTTCAGATGCTCCTTCCCTGCCCCTTCTTGTCAGCGTGCCCTGGAAATGGTGAGGATACCTTGGGCGGAGAAAGGTCGCTCAAAAGAAAAAAAAAAAAAAAAAAGCAAAGGAGCAGGAGGAATGAAGGAGAAGCTGGCTGTGGGAAGGCAGGGAGCTGGGTGGAGTATGGGCAGGAACTGCAGAGAGCGGGATAGTGTGACCAGGGGTATGGAGAACACACAAGGGGAGCGAGAACAGCAGGGGCCCTGGATAGGACAGAGAATCACATCACTGGGACATCGGAGCCCCCCAGCTGGGTCAAATCAAGTTGTTTTTGTTTGTTTGTTTTTCTTACTCTTCATTTCCAAAAGGAAATTTTTCTTTTATCAGTTGTGTAAATGAATATTTTTCAAACTGCTGGGTGCAAACAGCAGTTTTTAAAGGAAATAGAATTGCACAGAAGCTATCAGAGTGTATTGCAAACAACAAAGTAGGTATTGTTACATAAAATTCTGTGTCATTGAAAGTTTTTAATTTAAAATACATGTTTATTGTGGATAGTTGGCCAAAAAGCTTGAGAATCACTATTGTCTGAGGAGTGTCCCAGAATGCCCCAGTGGCATCATTTACATCTAAACCAGGTGGTGCATTTGAAACTGTTCCCCAAGCCCCAGCCTGTTCTTCCCTCCCTCCCCCCCCACGCCCACTTGTACCTTTGAGAGCAGACTGTCTAGCAATGACCCTGACACCAGGACAGGACTGTCACAGACATTTGCTGTAGAAAGCAGGCATATTATGAACTGGAGAATGGGAAGAATAGTGATGAATTTTGAAGCCTCTTTGAAAATAGGCACCGCATTTTTATAATTTTTTTCCTTACGCTTATATGCTCCTGCCCTAACATAAGTGCCTTCTCCAAAGCGAACATTTAGTAAATGCTTATCGAATCAAATGGCAGGAATTACAGCTCCGAGGTCTCACATAGACTCACAGAGAGAAGGTTGAGTATGTGAGGGATGGAGAGATGGGAGGAGGGGAGGGGAGGGAGCCCACATCAATTTTCACTCATGTCCAAGCTAATGGAAAACGTCTAATCCCCAACGAGGTGTTCCCTTCCATGAGCTGGCGAGGTGCCCTCTTAGCCTGACATACCACCTCAAGTATCGGAATCTCATCTCGGGCTAATTTTCGAATGCTGATGGGTGTATTGATCTGGAGACAAGCTGGGATAAAAAAGGCACTGGTCTTGTACACAGACTCAGCCCAAGCTAATCCGCTGTCGATATGCCTGGCCTGGGCATTATTGACACTCTAATGAATAGAGGGCCATCGTTTTCCAGGACCAGCCTGTTCCCCCCTCTTTAAAGCAATCAGACCAACTAAAGAGAGGCAGACTCCCCTGTTTCTGTATTGGGAACAGGATGCATTGCCATCCGGGATTAAATATATATATATGTTTATTTATCTTGGGAGCTTTTATTGTACTGAGCATGGAGCCTGGTACCTCCGCTGAAGCTGACTGTCTGGATTCTGTAGAAGTTTCTTCAGAGTAGGAGAGCTGGAGTGAAAGTTAGGCATGTTACGTCTTCAAAATGGTATTATGATCATTACACACACACACACACACACACACACACACACACACGCAGCAGGAAAAAGGAGTAAACTGAGTCTGTGTTTTTACGTATAAGCAGCCAGCTTTGTGTATAAATAAACCCACACAGAGAAAGGTAATGCATTTCTGTAGTGTCCTGAAAGCTGCTGAGGGCTGGGGTTGTCTCTTTCTCTTTACTCTCAAGCATGCCTCCGTCCCACTGTTCTACGTGCTCCATCTTCTCTGTGGCTGTGATGGGACATGCCAAGAGCCAGGATCCATCCTTGCATCCGCCAAAGAAGCAGATCCTTCGCCCAATGCATGTTCCCATCATGCTTCACTCATTCATACAGCTGTGACCATTGGGAGACAACCCTGGTGCTGTGAGGCTGGCCACGCACTTAGCATGAAAAATAAATTGCCCCAAACAAGCTAGTTCCCATTCCTGGACAGTGTTTGCCCCAATCGTCCTCAGAATTCAGCTGCCCAGAGTTTGGCTGCTGCTGGCCTCATCCTGATGGCCACCGCTGCTGTGAGTCCTCCACCCCTGTGTTGGCTGATTAGGCATTAAAAAACAAACAAACAAACAAACAAACAAACAAAAAAAACAAACATTTTGAATGATTTCAGAGAGGGAGAAAGAGATATAAACATCAGTGATGAGAGAGAATCATTGATGGGTTGCATCCTGCACACTCCCTAACTGATGATTGTGTACTGACTGGAAATGATAATAATAAGTGATAGCCATTACTGTCCAACAAGAGTTAAAGTAAGAGTGGGATTCAGTGACCCGAAGTGCCAGGTGTGGTGTAGAAGGGAGTGGAGTTTTGTGAGAAGATAGAGATCTTTTAAAGACAGGCGGGGATTGTTTAAAATGATGGAGGGCTGGGTTCCTTTGTTAGCGAGGACAGAGAAGAAGGGCCAGAGTCTGAAGGTGTAACTAGGGGAGAAGAGACAGAATTAGGGGACTGGACTGGTTGAATATCGGGGCTGGAGGGGCGAGGACAGGAGGGTTGTGAGTCCATCAGGACATTAAAATTGCCAGTTGGAGCCCTGGGAGAGCTTGGCTTGGCACTAAGGCATCTGGAGTGTCAGCTGGGAGCACATCCTGTGGCAGAGGTGCGGGGGTCAGGTACTCAGACTATTGATTTTACGATGCCTTGCAAACTTCATTCAAAATGAGTTTGTGAGAGTAAGAAACACCACCCATGGATGGCCATGCCCACTTAGGCAGCTGAATATCATCTTTCAGGCCACCACCGCAAGGGAAGCTCTCTCTAAGGTTCATTAAAACTTGGGCCGAGTGATTTCCCTGGCTTTGACCTCGGGGTGTTCTGCTTTATGAGCGTAATTAATAAGGAGCTGCTTCGAGAGTCTAGCTGCGGGTTTCCACCCTTCACCCCTCCCCGTCCTGCTGCCGAACCGTGCTTCTGGAACATTTTAAAATGGCCACACTCCTGTCTCCATTTCCCCCTGAAAGAGGACTTAACTTGGCAAACCCAGAGTGAATGGGAAGCTCAGTGGGTTGACCCCTCTGACAAATTAAGGACAGTGCAGATACAGAGCTCTGACTGTATCTCTAAAATCCCTGAGTGTGGAGGTGCTGGAGCTGCAGAAGTGCCATGGGGTCTGCGGGGGATGGGGGAGGCCTGCTGGGACACCTGTGGCTGTCAATGCACAGACATGTTTGCAGGATAGACCGGGCAGAATGTGGTCCTTGAACACATGTGGATGTTGGGTGACAGGTGTAGTAGTAAAAGCCTTTGTTCTCTTTACTCGTTTTCCAGGCCCCAGCTAGATTCCCTGCTTTGTTACTGAGCATCTAGCCACCCCTTCCCTTTTGTTTGGTGTAAATGAGTTTTCCTATTTCTCCCTGGGCAGAATTAATCCGAAAATCCCTGCTATTGTTTGATAGTTAATCACCTGCCTTTTGGATCCAGCAGCTCTGGGTCTCCTGTGGAAGGGGGAAGCAGGCTGATGTCTACAGGGTGAGACAGGGACCAGAGAAGATGGTGGTGGCATTCCAGAGCGGGAGGGCCAGGCCTGGAGGACATCAGGCAGGCAGGCGCCACCTTTCGCTGACCTTTGACTGTCCTCCTGTTCTGAACCCTCTCCCCT